CGTCCTAGTTTGGGTGCATACTGATGAAGAGTCCCAAACTAGGATGTAGGAAACAGCTGTCCAGTACTCCAAGGTTTTCCAATGGTTCCCTAACTGATGTCAGCTCATGACGAAATCCTCCAAACGATCAAACAAAATCCCTACAAAACCAATTCTTGCACATTTGGTAAGTCGCTGAGTTTGGTTTTTACTGTTTGTAATGGCCTTCTGAGTTGTAGATTATTGATGCAGAAACTGAGTATAGGACGCATAAAAAAGGAAGTAGTACACTATGATTAATTTGAAATTCAGTCTCATGGCAATTGTGAAATAGCCAATCACTGTGTAGACCATATGTGAGTGACTAATTCATAAGTTCCGATTACGTAATCATGACATCCCATCCATTAATATGCAAGCATCTATTCAGAGAAGACATTACTTGTTACCTCTCGTTTTAGTTTAAGCCAGTGAATCCAAATATTGACTTTTGTTGGTTGACCTTTTACTGGTTAGTGATTTCTCGATCCTTCCATCCAATTACACGTAAGTTATACGGGCTGACTAGTAATATGTATATCATACTGACAGATTTCATCGCTTAGTCATAGCTGAGATGGTCGGCTCAGAGTTTATAGACTACCTATCCAAGTTTCAAGTTGCTACCTATGTTGGCGTTGAGGATTTTGCAGACAAATTCAATTTCCTTATTACAACTTTGATTTTAATTCTTTGTGCAACAGTTGTTACTGTTAAACAATATATGATGAAGCCAATTTCATGTTATATGGCAACAGATTTGGGCGGAAAAAATTTATTGGATTATGTAGAAAACTACTGTTGGGTCCAGGGTACAGTCCCGATAACGTATTCAGGAAAAGTACCAGAAACAGATGCAGGTTGGGAAGAATTAGAAAAACATAAACTACGTGAGTTCTACAGATTCATCTGTTTTGTTCATTACTTTGACGACAAGAGCAATAATATATTTATTTATGTTGCTTTGGTTGTATAGAATGTATTCATATTATTCCTAAAAGTTTTCCCAGCTATCATTGTGGCTTGTCTATAAGTTTGTGAGGGAGAAAGTATCAAGTGGCAGGGTGAGGAAATTCCCTTTATGCTAGCAAGTTATAGTTGAGCAATTCAGATTTATATTTCATGTTATGAATTCTACTAACTTAAACATGCCTTGTATACTGTTTTATGGTCCAGAGTATTTGATTTAATAGCTAAGCCAATTGAATATTCAATTTACTCGACGTACATGCTGCAATCAGAAGATAGTATATCGATTATACAATTAAACGGATTCTGAGGGCCTAGAGAAATACACTGACTATCTGGGGAGTGGTAGTGATTACCAGTATATTATTTGTTGTATGACAATTTCGTCCTGAGGTTTTCACTCTTAATTTTGAAATAGCGTGTACCATACTCTTGTCTCAATATACTTGAGTAGGCAGAACGGAGGCGGTCACTTACAATTTGAATTTCCTAAGGTAGTTGGTCTGATATGACTCTGTGTCAAGTGCTTAGATAAATGTTATAATCATATCAGATGTCACACTTGGTTGTTTTACAAGTGCCTTGTCAAATTTCTATAAACAGTTGAAATATCTGTTGTGGCGTCTGCTACACTGTACGGGAAAAAACCTCACGATAGCTTTCATCATCGCATATGATACTGATAGTGCTGAACATGTTTAGTCACTGTTTAATCATAAAAGTATCAGCAGATATCATTATCCTCTAAGCCTCACAATGTTATAGTAGAATGTTCTTGAATTAAGTCTAAACTTAAATGTTACTACAGTCCCTAGAGTCTATAGCTTTTTTTTGGATTACACGTCTAGGATTTCACATACCAGGCAGTATAAATGACCACTTCGCAGTGTTCCCACTACTTCAGCTGTGATACACAGGCAGCTAGCGACATGAGTCTTCACAGTTTAGAATACAACTCATAATAATCAAAACTGCAACAAGCAGATGGATCGTATTTTACTACATATCGTATTAATCAAAGCATTGTGTTTGTTTTTATAGAGGGCTGAAGAAAACTACATATAGGGACACTTCTTATTTCCAATCACTCTGTTTATATCTGAAGGTTTTATCACTTATGGTAAATCCAAATCTTTCAGAATACCCAACTAGTTTTCCCTTGGTACTGAAGTGTTTGAATTCTACAGACTAGAGATCAGGATGTAGTACTTTCACCTATGAGTTTTGTTGTGGAGGACAACTTTTCATATAATGGATAAACATTAAATGTTTCTGCATTTTCAAGTATTTTTTATTTTTATTTTCTTAACCGCACAGTTTATTATCAGTGGGTGCCATTTGTACTCGGTCTACAGTGTATAATGTTTTATCTACCAAGATTAATTTGGCAAATGATCTGCTACAACAGAATTGGAACAGACATACAACACCTAGTGCATAGCGCTAACCAAGCCGTACACGCTAATGAGGAACAGAAAATTAAAATAGTGCAACATTTAGCAAAGACATTAGAAGAGTTACTATTCCAGGTAGGCGTTGACCGTAACTTTATCTTTTCTGCTGCTATTAATGATTTTATCTGATTAATTATTATTTCCATGAGTAATAAGTGGAAGTGAGTTCAATACGTACACCGTTTATCCATGGCATTCAGGTAGAAGTAGGTGAGTATTTTATAAGGTCACATTTTCTAGTCATTTCTTCTTATTCAATGCATCAATTTTCTCATGAATCCAGAAAGATATCTGCATCTTCAGAGAAATTTAAATGACACCAAAGTTTATTGTCATTATAATGACAGGACCTCTGAAACAGATGGCATTTGATCTCATTTCGGTTCATCATTTTCACCACCCATTCTAATCAGCTTTTGATTGCGTACACTCTCCTCAAAATCGTTCATCTTGCCAGATTTATATGAAATGACTAACACTAACAAGCTGTTAATTTTAAAAGTGTGATGAAGGATAAGGAGAAATCCAAAAATCACTTTTTATCCCCTTGAAACAAGATTGAGATTCGCTGTACCTGTGGTTTTCAATTCCTTATAATGATTTATCGCGTGTTTTCAAGTAATCAGAAAATTATTTCTAAGTCAAATTTCCACTGTTTACTGTTTTTTTTTATTCACGAAACAAAGTTAGTTATGTTTATCACATTCTGAAGTTGAGGTTTGTGCAGGAATTTGAGTTGCTGAATTTCGTTTAGATCTTGTGACTGAATATTTAGATAATATCTTAGCGAAGTAAAAATTTTAATCGGTATTAATAACTGAAGGGTCCTCGGTCGCGATGGAAAGTGAATAATTAATTTGGCCGGTATATTTTCATCTTCGATACACACATTTGTCTCCCATTCATGACTAATCTGTGTAGAAAACTTTCTACTTTTTATTGATGCAAGTCAGCTTAGATGAAATTCTCCTCAAATAGTATTTAAATTACAGCTGCTTGTATTACTTATCACCGTGCAGTTCTGAAATAGAATAGTGAATATCAAGTCTTATATGGGTTCACTGAAAAACAAACCAAATTTTTTCTGACAAATTCTTATAAGTTTACTTCGATTCATATTCAAATCCTGGTCACATTTCTTAATAATGAATTGTATTTCTGACTAGTACTGCTTCCCATATTACTGTTTAACTTATCCACCTATATATATATATATATATATATATATATATATATATATATATACATATATGATTGATCCCAACGTGTAGGTAACATATATCATATAGTTGTACTGATTCATTGTCAAGAGATAGTCATTCTACTGTACAAGAAGCGTACCTCCCCACTGAATTATGGTGTGCAATACTAATGATAATTGCTATTATTATGATGATAATAGTACTTCTATCTAGGTGGTATAAAGTAAAAAAGGACACTGAAAAGTTATCAGCCAGTTATTTCTTCCAAGGTGCTCCGGAATATTTCTGTGACATCACATATACCTACCATAGCATAAAAGAATACAGAAACAACCAGAAATCTTCAAAAACGACTACAGTCGTTATTAGTATGTGTAAATCGCTGTTATTTCGCACATGACTAGCTTTTGCAACAGATCTTGACCCTTCAAAGAGTGTTACCAGATGAGTGAATAAGAGTTCGACACACTATATCAGTCTCAACGCCTGTGTTATTTTTGGGTATTATTTTCAGTCAAACAGGTCAAAGGATGAATATAATTACAGTAAGTTGAAGCACCCAGTTTTTGATTCGTCATCATGTGCTAGTAGTTCATGCATGATTTCAGCTTTATTAAACTGTCCAATTTCATCGGTAAACTATATCAACAATTGATTTAATTAGTCATTTAGCTGAAAATATCATTCTCCTCAGTTTGCTTTTTTATTATTCTGCTGTGTTTATGGCAATATGCATCTATTTCATGTGTTAACTAAGTGTTGTATTGTCGATTGTAATACACATTGTATTTCGTATGTTCAGTGGATAGATTGTGTCATGTATAGTGATAGTATTGTGAGTTGGCAGTTAACTTCTAGGAATGCTCGCTAACCATCCATGTGATCTTGGTTTGACTCGCTTAACTGGTAGTAAACCTGATAAAGAGGGCAGGTCGAAGCTAGAAACCCCTGATCCCGTGAAAATAGCGCTAGCGCTAGGGAAACTTCCAAGCTCAAACTTGAAGCCAAACATTCCACTCAGAATACAAAGCATCATTGTTAACTTGTATTATATCTGTAATCCACTTTTTATTATGTTGTATTAGATTTGTTTTGTGGAAAATATCTTTTGTTAACATTGCTGATTTCTCTGTTTTTCATGCATGCTGGTGTTCTATCTGCCTGTCTGTTCTGTGCCAAAATACACTCAAATATTTGCTCCCCATCCATGCATGCCTGAATGTAACTAACATATGTATACTCCTGCATGGTATTTTTCCATCTGTTGACATCCTGGACACTGTTTCGTTCGTGTTCATTTTCTTTTGATGAAAACTGCTTTGCATGAGAATGATTGTAGCACCAAAAGCAACGACTTATGTCCAAGTCGTATTATTCACATCGCAAACATAGATCACATATAGATTTCTATGCAAATGTCACACCCAGTTTCAACGAGCAACAACCCACTAGACATTATCGAGATGGAGGAAACAGTGATGGTTATCACAATGATGTTATGCGATATACGGGTGATAGTGATGAAGACAATCTTGATGTCTCCAGTGTTAAAAGTAAATATTACAATGTAGTTAATACTCTCAAGTGTATTCGTTACACTGGAACTTTCCTATCAATAATGTACCTGTTTGTAAAACTGTGCTATTTAGGCAACTCAATTATTCAGTTATTCTTAATGCAATACTTTCTTGGATTTACAGACGGTAGTAATAGTTTCTTTGGTCTGGTAGTTCTACATAACATACTTCATGGTCATGATTGGCAGTCAACCTTGTTCTTTCCACGAGTAGCTTATTGTTACGCACCTGTTAAAAACTTTGGAACAAAAGCTAACATAGCTACAGCTCAATGTGTTCTACCAACAAATATGTTGAATGAAAAAATTTACATATTTCTTTGGTGGTGGATTCTACTAGTGTCTATACTCAATGCCAGTAGTCTACTACGATGGTTTTTACAATTTGCCTGTCAAAATCGTGGAAGTCGATTCATTATTAAATACATTAAATTGTCGAACAATCTACCTCTTAATGATGTCTATTGTGCTGAGAAATTCGCAAGAAAATTCCTACGACGTGATGGAATGTTTGTCTTACGTATGTTAGCATCGAATGCTGGGGAAATGATCACCTCAGAAATTATCAATGCAATGTGGGTGAATTATCGTAATACTGTTGTCCAATCAAAACTTGGAAGTTCTCAGCAACTTAGTCAAATTGTTCATCACAATGATGATATGCCGAAAGATACTTTTCCATCAAACGTTTCAGAAGCTAGATGGAATAGAGAACAAGCAGAAGAACATCCGCCGAAAGTACTAACTGAAAACACTTATTCAACTAAGACTCCAAAAACGAAGTCCCCAGTATTTGATGACACTAAACCAGAAAATAGACGAGGAAGCATCGAAATGGCAAATCAGCCTAGACGCCTTTATTATGTTTAAGTAACACCTTCAATTTTAAATTTAAAAAGATGTTCACACTGATATACGGTTAACTATTATTGTTCGATTCGTTTTCAAAGCAACTGCCGGTGACTTTTATGGCACGTAAACTATAAAAATGTGTTTCTAACTCTTTTTGTCTACTGGACACTTTTAAATTCATTTGTGTGGAATAGAGGAAGTGATTGTCGATGCTCAGTGGTGCTATTTCTTATGCGAGACAGTTTTGTTTGCAATTATTATCATGATTATTAGTCCTCCGACCAGTGGTGTTAATCTAATCATTTTTTGGGGAAATTAATTCTGTATGAGAATAAAAGTTATGTTTGAAAATATGTAGTCTTTTTGTTTTGACCACTTGAATGATTTCACTTCATCTCTATGTAAATGTACTTCATAGGTTGCCTTGACGCGCTGTTTAAACGATGAGATATTTAGATGAAAACGGATTAACGCTGGAGGAAAGATATTAACTTTTAGTTATCTAAGTGAATGCTGGAATTGAAAATTTGCATTTTCAATCCCGTCGTGTGTATTATTTCAGTGTGCGTTCCTCAGCGTTTAAGTAATACACTGATAATTCAGTCTTTTCTATTGTTTCATTTATCACAATGAAGAGAATTTAGTGCTTTTAGTTACTATTTAGTTACCTTCAAGGATCGCTGGAGATGCTCGAGGTTTATAGGTACTTGTGTGCTTTCATTAGGAGTGGAAACTTTCATGTTTCTTTTCGAATTACACTCACCCATAATAAACATTGATTTAATTAAATAAATCATAAGTATATTTCAGCAGTTTACACACAGTGAAAAGTTGTTTTTTTAATATCTCGAGCAAAATTACCACCCATGATCACACCAACTGTTGAAATTGTTTTGTTTGTTGGTTTTTAATTCACACTTTATGATATGTAATCATAGACATAGTTCATTTTTTGTTCATTTACATTTTTGTGTATCCAGAATTATATTCCAGGTTGTTGACAGTTCTGCTGAGTCATCCTTGTTACATGTATCCGGCGTGACCTTAGTGAATATCACTGTCAGTAAATTATTGAAATATAATTATAATTTATTTAATCTATTCCACAATGCCCAAACTTTATACTGACATTAACTCACTGAATTAATTGTTTCATATTTATGTTAAATGGATAGGGAGTGTTTTTACGTACTGTCTTAAATTGTATGCAGGCTTCTTGAACCCTAGGGGATTTCAGGTGATTACTAATCAATCCTCTGGACATATGTTATGACATAATTTGGTAACGCGATATTTAGCATAGGATTTGCATTATAAAATTGAATGGTACAGGTCGTTGAAATTTAAGACGAAAGAGTAATTATGTATTTTGTTAGTTGGGCTTAGAGTAGTGGCTTGAAGCAAGGGGAGATTGATGAATACCGTTCTGATAAAATTTAAAATCGATGTACAGAGTGCTGACTTGTAAATAGGCGAGAGTAAAAGCCTACTGATGGTGTTTCTGAGGTTCACTCAGCCAAATACCGATTTTCAGAGAAAGAAAACTCTTCTAGTGAATACTTACATCTAATGTCATTTTGTGAATGTCTGCACCAACCATTACCCTTTCCACTTAAATATCTTAAGCGACCGTAATTTTGTGTTAAATTTATTCAAAATCTGTTCACAGGTGATCAATTTGTAATAAAGTGAAACTTTATAAGACTGGTCTGGGAAAACCAGAAGTTGATTAGCTATTACTAATCAGTGATATAGAGATCAGTTATAATGCATGAATTTTCGTCTTAAAAGTTGACTTATATTAAGTGTAACATTATCTATTAGATCAATAGGAACTCAGATAAATGTAATATGTGTGATTTTGCTTAATAGTTCAAAATTTTTACTTACTCAAGAGGTTATCATTGCCATATCAAGAAATAAGCCTGGAGGGTTAGAAGTCACAACTCATGAGTTACCAGAACTTTTCCTGTATCTTTGGCCGCGTCAAAAAATGTGATTATTTTTATATTATGAGGTCAGTAATACTAGTATCCTGGTACAAGTAGAAAGTTTCCCTATTCATGAACAGTTCATCAACAGTAATCTTCTAAGATTATTTGTTCAGTGAAGCTTATGCGTGGAATCCGTAAATCACACTTTGTTCTAGGGCTAATTTCATTCCAGTGAGTGACAGTATTTCCTTCAGTATTCCAGCCCACAATACCCACAGAACCAGTAGTTACGGAGGGAATTTGTTTCAATAAATCAAACATTAAAACGTTATGTATCACCATAGAGTCACTGACCTCAAAAGGATGAACAGCTTAAAGAGAAAAATACTTTTGCTAATAATAAAGTCAAGGGATCAGCAACACCAAAACTATGCAATCAAAATCTGACTGAATTATATGAGCCACATCATTTGATTTTGAGGAGTAAATTGCGTTCGAGATGATATTGGATGGTTGGAGGCAATCGGCAGGAAGCCTTGGACCTAGGTTTCCTGCTAGTTGGCACTCGTCAGCAAGGCGTATCTGCAACCTTGAAGGAACTCATGTCTCTTCTGAGATTCGAACGCGCGTCACCCAGTGCTGCAGTCAGAGACGTTACCACTGAGCTATTAGGGCTCGCGATTGACCTCCTGTAGGACTGTAGTGGATATTTTGATTTGACACTAGTAACTAGTGTGACGCATCTAGTCTTCTCTTTGGTGCAGACTGAATTCTATCAGTCAGGTTGTAATGTGGCCACCATTCTAGGTAGCTCGCAGGTTGCAGATACGCCTTGCTGACGAGTGCCAATTTAGCACGAAACCTAGGTCCAAGGCTTCCTGCCGATTGCCTCCAACCATCCAATATCATCACAAACAATGTACACCGTGATGGCGAGCTACCTAGAATGGTGGCCACATTACAACCTGACTGATAGAATTCAGTCTGCACCAAAGAGAGGACTAGATGCGTCACACTAATTACTAGTGTAAAATCAAAAAATTGCATTCGAATTGTCATCGTTAAATAAATAATACTGTATCACTGCATGTTACACCAAATAAAATTATCCTATTATACAATTAGTCGCTACTGCAGTCAGTGATCAAATTCTGTTCTCATATCAATGCAGAAGATGAATCACTTACTGTGCAACATTTCTGAAGCAATTCATTTCATGTAGCCATAATTTAGGATAGACAAGAAAATATGGATTTAGGGATATTTGTTTCTACAGTTCAGAAATCTAAAGCAATTTGTTCCTTTTCTGAATTTTGACACAACAATAAGAACATGTGACTTATCTGAAGCATGTAGTGTGTTTACGCAACAAATATTTATATAAAAGGTCACAGAGCATAAATGATCAAAATTTTTATCAATATAGGTCAAAGTGTCATCACTTATATCAGTAAAATTTTGCTCCTTTATGCTATGACTTTTTATGTTAACAATTATTGTGTAAATACACTACACGTTTAAGATGAATTACGCCTTCTTACTGTTTTGTCGACATTTGTTTCTAGACATAGAGTAGAACGACGGACGGCATGTTTTGCTATAATCAAAGAATATTCACAGTCTTACGCACACACATACGCACTTACAAGCTTAATTACAGGTGTTGTTCGATTCACTTTGTAGGCATAATGTAGGCAAGAGGAATAGACTGCATTCAGGTACCAAATGAAACACAAAGTAAGACAATGGTGCAGAAGCATCACATCCAACTGACCACCTCGTTCCTGTTGATAATTCCAGTCCAACTCATTTAATTCGGAAACAGATATGTTTTGTTGATGAATTTATCTCGTCTATTGAAACGAATTACTGACCATGCAGATTCGAACCAGTTTTCTCAATCTGAGGAAAAACAGAAAATAACTCTCCATTATAATAGAAGGGAACAAACACTTCTAAATACTCGACGTATTGGCATCATCTTATTCATAGCCTCAAAAAGAAAAAAACTGCAATTAACCTAACCTAATTTGGATGGTTCAATAGTAGAATCTTTATAACAACCAGTTCAAGTGACTTAGCATGTTCTGCTTTTATTTCCTAGGGTAAGAGTATTGTAAAGAATTAAAAAGGCCAGTAATTTACATGAAAATCATTGGTGAAGGTGTCAGTTTTGAAGACAGTGGAAAGTGGTGAATTCGAACAAATAGTTCAGTGAAAGAATTTTTTCAGCGAATCCATTCAGTTAGCTGTACACTCGTGATTATATATTGATATACACTGATAACAGTTGAGCCTGGAATTATAACCAGGTAGAGAGACGGGACAAAGAATCTTCTTCTCTGTACATAAATCAAGGTTTTCATTTGAATCGCTAGGGCCTAGGCGACGCAAAGTATACGGAAGCGTACGATTTTCGGAAGGTTTATTTTTATTTTGCCGACAACTTTGAATGATCTCTCCTGAGTGGCCAGTGTGGAATTCATGTTCATTTATGGCACTCTTTATTGATCCATTGTGACCCTTTTGTAGCCAAACGGGATAGAGTTGCTTGACTCTTTTAGATAAAATACGCACTGAACGATATACTTATCTCACTCCACAGAGCGAAGTGAAATCGTAGATAAGTAGAAGTAGTCAGATGCAACAGTTTACCTTAAGAGTTATTGGAGAACTTTGGCTGGTGCGAGAATACCAGTTTTAATATAGAAGCAAAAAATGTTGTTTCCAGGGCATTTGATATCCTCTTTTAAGGAGTATCGCCTCTGAAATTTTCTCATATTATGCAACCTTTGGTCTGAAATTATTGGTCTTCACCACCCTAATTACAATTTGATTATTCATCGGTGTTCTTAAATATTTTTTATGGAAACAATACTCCAAACTAATGTACACATATGCTCAAAAAAGATAATTGTAATAACTGCAACTGTACAGCCAAGTGGATGAATTCGCTGAATTGTTTATTCTTATTTCTATACCTGGATGGGTATTTTTCGACAATAAACAATAAAATGGACCCGTGTTACTTTGTCAGCATCTCCTCAGCTGCTTCCAAACCGAATGGTGAAAGTTAATAGTTTT